AGACGTTTTAAAATTAATTTAATCTTACATTGTATATTGTTTTGTTCTATTTTCAAGTATGTTATATTGCTTAAATTTATCAATTCCATCGTTGTAAAAGCAATTCATTGGTCTCTCTTATCTCATTTTGTCTATATTATATATCATTGTTTGACCGCACGTAAAGGGAGCTCAATTAATGAAATATTTTTGGTCTTAAGTGTATTAGTCACACGCGCGATAATTGTGCAGCTAAGTTGCATCCATATTCTTCACGAACGTTACTCAACTATATATATATATTATGGTTTCTTTTACTATATCCTTTATATTTAATAAAATACCAATTATATTTTTTCTGGCGTCTTGTATATTATGTATTAATTTATTTTACTTTGTCAATCTATGAATTCATCTATTATATTGTTATTATTCATAATAATTACCCGCTCAATATTTATTTATTAAATCTAACAACAATACTTAACACGTCTATATTGTTACATTCGCGATATTTATATATATATTTAATAACTGCTCTGCATATTTATAAGCTCGCATCCTTTTATGTTGACTCGACTATATTACTCAAATCATTTAAGGATTCATTCCGTTATATCTTATTGATAAATTTTATACTCTACCACCTTATACAAAAAATCAAGTCACTATTAACTAGCAACTGCCGAAGTGATATATCATTGTTCGTACTACTTAAGTCTAACGTAAACAAATTATTAGTTCTGTTACTCTGTGTAGCTTTAAAGTACTATATATTTAACACATTTGGGTACATATTTGATTTTGATTAATGGCTGTAAATAATGTAAATAATTTGTACTGTTATTATCAGAATGTTCGTGGTCTTAGGACTAAATGTCTTGAATTACGACTAAATATTTTGACGAACGATTACGACATTATAATTATGACAGAATCATGGCTACACAGTGGAATTTTTGATGGTGAGTTGTGCGACGATAGGTATGACGTGTTCAGGGCTGACAGAGATGTGCGTAATAGTGGTAAAAGTACTGGTGGTGGAGTATTAATACTGACACGACGTACACTCGGTGCCATGTATCGTGACCTCGGTGTATGCGGTCTTACTGAGCTATTGTGGATTACTATTCCTTCAAGCGCGTGCGCTTCAAATTCCAACTTACATATTTGTGTGGCATATATTGCCCCTGACCCTCATCAAATGCCATCGGATCTCGTTTTTATTAAACAAAAAATTAATAGTATTATCGAGCTTTCTCCAAATGATAATTTTGTAATATTAGGAGATTTCAACTTGCCGTTCATTTCTTGGAACCCAAACGGATATACAGCTTTGAAAAAAGGGCCTACTGAGGTACAAGAAGCGAGTATCCAGCTGATGGAAACACTAACATTTCACGGGTTAAGACAATTTAATACTTTAAAAAATCATGCTGGTAACACATTAGATCTTGCATTCTCTAATCTACCTCTGAATATCATCCCTGCGGCTGCGCCGCTACTCAGGGAGGACCACGCACATCCTTCTTTTTGCTTCATAGTTTTGGATTTAAACATTACTCCTCTACGAGAAACAGCTGCGCCGAGGCGAAATTTCAGGAGGGCTGATTATGAAAAAATTAATACATATCTTTTAGAACAGGACTGGAGGTCTCTTTTATGTACAGGCACTGTAGACGAAGCTACAAATACCTTTTATAACATACTGGATAGTTGTGTTCGTTTACATGTGCCCTTTAGTTATAACACAGGGAAGCGATCATATCCTAAATGGTACACACCTGCTTTAATAAAAATAATTAAGGAGAAAAACAATGCTCACACACGTTGGAAAAAATTCAGGAATAGATTAGATTACGATGAGTTTTCGTTACTCCGAGCAAGAGAACACCGTGTTCAGAGAGAATGCTTTAATAAATTTACGTCAAGTTGTGAAAATAGCATCAAAACACATCCTAAAACATTCTGGACTTTCGTCAAAGCCATTCGGGGTGGGTCAGGTTACCCTAAGAAAATGTCTTTGAAAGATATAGAGTACACCGATGGTATAGACATATGCAATGCTTTCAACTCATTCTTCAAGAGTGTATTTGGTATTCCTAGTAATAACTACATAATCATACGGATCATACAAAAACATACGGAATCGTTGTATACTGACACCGTTTCTAATGTACAGACAAACGCTGCAATAATTGAAAAAATGTTGAAAACTTTGGACACGAACAAAGGTGCCGGTAGTGATGGGTTACCTTCTTTTTTTTGGTCACGATGCGCTAAATCACTTGCTCTCCCCTTGACTATTATATTTAATCGCTCTCTACGTGAAGGGATATTTCCGCATCAATGGAAGTGTGCACACATAATCCCTGTACACAAGAAGGGATCACGTACAGAAATAAATAATTATAGAGGCATTTCTATTTTGAACACCGCGGCTAAAATCATTGAACGAGTAGTATATAACGTAATTTACTCCACGCTTTCACGTGCCTTCCCTGAGCAGCAACATGGTTTTTTACAAAGGCGATCCACCACTACGAACCTGGCAAGTTTTTCTTCTTTTGTCCTTGAAAATATGGATCAAGGTGGGCAGGTTGATGTGATCTACACTGATTTTGAAAAAGCTTTCGATCGTGTGGATCACATGATCCTGCTCAACAAATTACAAATATTAGGGATTCACGGTGACTTGCTCCGATGGACTGAATCATATCTCACAAACCGCTCACAAGCAGTCGTGATAGGTGGTTTCCGTTCGAGCTACATAAACATACCTACAGGTGTTCCTCAGGGCTCTCACTTAGGTCCACTTTTTTACAATGCCTACCTATATGACATTGGTTCGTGCATTATACACACAAATTACCTCATGTATGCAGATGATAAGAAGATTTTTTGTAAAATTAACACCATACATGACTGCCTATTGATACAAAAAGACCTGGACCGTTTATTTGAATATTACAAAATAAATAATATAACTGTCAATGCAAGCAAGTGCGAATGTATTAGTTTTACACGGAAATCTAAGCCAATTCTAAATAAATATCACTTTGACGGATTAGAAATCAGCCGAAAAGTAAGTGTTAGGGATTTAGGCGTAATTTTTGATCATAAAATGATACTATGCGAACACATTGATTACGTTATCAGTAAAGCCTATAAAAATCTTGGTTTTGTTCTTCGCATCTGTAAACCATTCTCGAATATTAATACAATTAAAATGGTTTATTTTGCATATGTCAGAAGTGTTTTGGAATATGCTAGTTCAATATGGTCTCCACAGTACAATGTCTACAAAAGCCGCCTTGAGCGTATTCAAAAAATATTTGTTAATCACCTTAACTTTCGCTGTCGGAATAAAATCGATACTTACACAGTCAGTTGCACTGAGCACGATCTCTTATCTCTGGAACACAGGCGCATTTTGCTTGACATGGCTTTGTTATATGATATAATAAACAGTAATATTGACTGTCCATATCTTGTCTCAAGAATCACCTTTCGTACTCCGAAATTCCGTACCCGCAATACTACATTGTTACAGACTCCCTGGCATCATTCAAACTACTGTCGAAACACTGTTCTTTCGCGGCTTGCTCGTACATATAATGAACAATTTGGACACATTGACCTCTTTGCGAAATCTGAACTTACGTTTAAAGATTACATCAAGAAAACTATTACGAAATAGAGCAGTTGAAGTTAAATTCACATACAATCATATATTCTCTCATCTATTTCTTCTATATGTATTTTTGAGGCTACTAATATAAATATAAGTACTTAAGTTATTTTATTTAATATATATTATAATTAATTATTTGTATTATGTTTATATATTTAAACATTTAATATGTATTTATACATAAGTAAATATATATGTATGTATATATATATATATATATATATATATCTTATATGTTTATATATATATATATATATATATATATATATATATATATATATATATATATATAAAGGTAATCTAATATATCATTCTACCTGACTATCTCTCCTGATCTGTAAACTAATGACCACCTTCATTACATTGAATTGCTTATAATTTTGCTTATAATTTATCTATTAGATTGTTCTTTTTCCTTTTCTTCTAACAACAATACACCTACCATCAAACAATATAAGGGAAACCTGTTATTGGCCATACTTTTAGTTTGTTACATTAATGTTAATATTTTCTATATACGCTGTTGGTTTTCTAAATAAATAAATAAATAAATAAATAAATAAATGATAATATATGGTGTCTCAATAAACGCAGCAAAGCTTATAAAGTAATAACTGTTCGACCGGTTACAAAAAGTAGTTATAAACGGAACTGAATCTTTCATTATGGGTGTGCCCCAAGGATCAATATTGTGACCATTATTTTTTTAAATACATAAATGATCCTCTTTTATCTATACAAATAAATAAAATTGAAGTGTCTGTTTGTAATGTCAAAATAACAGATTTTTACCAAATGCATATGTAAGTATACTTACTTATAACAACAAAACAATTTTTAAAATTTTTGTCAGTCTGTCTGTGTGTCTGTTTGTTCTGGCTAATCTCCGAAACGGCTGGAACGATTTTGATGGGACTTTCACTAACAGATATTTGATTTTAATGTAACTTAGGTTACTTTTATTTAAAAAAAAGAATTAAGGTCCTGCGTAAAAAAAATTAAAACCCATGAAATGTAATCGTAATTAATTTCACGCAGGCGAAGTCGCAGGGAACAGCTAGTTTACAAATACGTTGAATAAAGCGAAAAACGCCGGCTAACCGTTAGATGAAGATGAAGAATAATCTCTGGTGAGAGATGCAGGAAGTTGATGGATGCTGGTGAATCAGGACTGTGCTTGGGGTATTATTTTAGGGAAGCTTATGTAAGACTTAAGAGGAAATACGATGGGGCTTTAAATTTAAAATGATTATCATAAATGCGTTTGTTTCGCTTGAGTGAGTGTGTTCGAGGGTATCCATGGGCATTGGTCCGAGCGAGTGCGTACCTCGACGTCGATGTCGTAGCAGGCGGTCTGCTTGGTGTCGTGCGGCGGCTCGACGGCGATCACGTGGTTGATGACGATCGGGTCCGGCGCGTGCAGCAGCGCGCCCAGCCGCGCCGGCACCTCCGCCAGCTTCATGCGCGCGCACCCGAAGATCTGCTCCAGGTACTTGTCGCACACCACGTACTCGCGCTCGTGCGGGTCCTGCACACACGCACACACCTACACACACATGCGCGCGCACCCGAAGATCTGCTCCAGGTACTTGTCGCACACCACGTACTCGCGCTCGTGCGGGTCCTGCACACACGCACACACCTACACACACATGCGCGCGCACCCGAAGATCTGCTCCAGGTACTTGTCGCACACCACGTACTCGCGCTCGTGCGGGTCCTGCACACACGCACACACCTACACACACATGCGCGCGCACCCGAAGATCTGCTCCAGGTACTTGTCGCACACCACGTACTCGCGCTCGTGCGGGTCCTGCACACACGCACACACCTACACACACATGCGCGCGCACCCGAAGATCTGCTCCAGGTACTTGTCGCACACCACGTACTCGCGCTCGTGCGGGTCCTGCACACACGCACACACCTACACACACATGCGCGCGCACCCGAAGATCTGCTCCAGGTACTTGTCGCACACCACGTACTCGCGCTCGTGCGGGTCCTGCACACACGCACACACCTACACACACATGCGCGCGCACCCGAAGATCTGCTCCAGGTACTTGTCGCACACCACGTACTCGCGCTCGTGCGGGTCCTGCACACACGCACACACCTACACACACATGCGCGCGCACCCGAAGATCTGCTCCAGGTACTTGTCGCACACCACGTACTCGCGCTCGTGCGGGTCCTGCACACACGCACACACCTACACACACATGCGCGCGCACCCGAAGATCTGCTCCAGGTACTTGTCGCACACCACGTACTCGCGCTCGTGCGGGTCCTGCACACACGCACACACCTACACACACATGCGCGCGCACCCGAAGATCTGCTCCAGGTACTTGTCGCACACCACGTACTCGCGCTCGTGCGGGTCCTGCACACACGCACACACCTACACACACATGCGCGCGCACCCGAAGATCTGCTCCAGGTACTTGTCGCACACCACGTACTCGCGCTCGTGCGGGTCCTGCACACACGCACACACCTACACACACATGCGCGCGCACCCGAAGATCTGCTCCAGGTACTTGTCGCACACCACGTACTCGCGCTCGTGCGGGTCCTGCACACACGCACACACCTACACACACATGCGCGCGCACCCGAAGATCTGCTCCAGGTACTTGTCGCACACCACGTACTCGCGCTCGTGCGGGTCCTGCACACACGCACACACCTACACACACATGCGCGCGCACCCGAAGATCTGCTCCAGGTACTTGTCGCACACCACGTACTCGCGCTCGTGCGGGTCCTGCACACACGCACACACCTACACACACATGCGCGCGCACCCGAAGATCTGCTCCAGGTACTTGTCGCACACCACGTACTCGCGCTCGTGCGGGTCCTGCACACACGCACACACCTACACACACATGCGCGCGCACCCGAAGATCTGCTCCAGGTACTTGTCGCACACCACGTACTCGCGCTCGTGCGGGTCCTGCACACACGCACACACCTACACACACATGCGCGCGCACCCGAAGATCTGCTCCAGGTACTTGTCGCACACCACGTACTCGCGCTCGTGCGGGTCCTGCACACACGCACACACCTACACACACATGCGCGCGCACCCGAAGATCTGCTCCAGGTACTTGTCGCACACCACGTACTCGCGCTCGTGCGGGTCCTGCACACACGCACACACCTACACACACATGCGCGCGCACCCGAAGATCTGCTCCAGGTACTTGTCGCACACCACGTACTCGCGCTCGTGCGGGTCCTGCACACACGCACACACCTAGACACACATGCGCGCGCACCCGAAGATCTGCTCCAGGTACTTGTCGCACACCACGTATTCGCGCTCGTGCGGGTCCTGCACACACGCACACACCTACACACACATGCGCGCGCACCCGAAGATCTGCTCCAGGTACTTGTCGCACACCACGTACTCGCGCTCGTGCGGGTCCTGCACACACGCACACACCTACACACACATGCGCGCGCACCCGAAGATCTGCTCCAGGTACTTGTCGCACACCACGTACTCGCGCTCGTGCGGGTCCTGCACACACGCACACACCTACACACACATGCGCGCGCACCCGAAGATCTGCTCCAGGTACTTGTCGCACACCACGTACTCGCGCTCGTGCGGGTCCTGCACACACGCACACACCTACACACACATGCGCGCACACCCGAAGATCTGCTCCAGGTACTTGTCGCACACCACGTACTCGCGCTCGTGCGGGTCCTGCACACACGCACACACCTACACACACATGCGCGCACACCCGAAGATCTGCTCCAGGTACTTGTCGCACACCACGTACTCGCGCTCGTGCGGGTCCTGCACACACGCACACACCTACACACACATGCGCGCACACCCGAAGATCTGCTCCAGGTACTTGTCGCACACCACGTACTCGCGCTCGTGCGGGTCCTGCACACACGCACACACCTACACACACATGCGCGCGCACCCGAAGATCTGCTCCAGGTACTTGTCGCACACCACGTACTCGCGCTCGTGCGGGTCCTGCACACACGCACACACCTACACACACATGCGCGCGCACCCGAAGATCTGCTCCAGGTACTTGTCGCACACCACGTACTCGCGCTCGTGCGGGTCCTGCACACACGCACACACCTACACACACATGCGCGCGCACCCGAAGATCTGCTCCAGGTACTTGTCGCACACCACGTACTCGCGCTCGTGCGGGTCCTGCACACACGCACACACCTACACACACATGCGCGCGCACCCGAAGATCTGCTCCAGGTACTTGTCGCACACCACGTACTCGCGCTCGTGCGGGTCCTGCACACACGCACACACCTACACACACATGCGCGCGCACCCGAAGATCTGCTCCAGGTACTTGTCGCACACCACGTACTCGCGCTCGTGCACACCTGCACACACGCACACACCTACACACACATGCGCGCACACCCGAAGATCTGCTCCAGGTACTTGTCGCACACCACGTACTCGCGCTCGTGCGGGTCCTGCACACACGCACACACCTACACACACATGCGCGCGCACCCGAAGATCTGCTCCAGGTACTTGTCGCACACCACGTACTCGCGCTCGTGCGGGTCCTGCACACACGCACACACCTACACACACATGCGCGCGCACCCGAAGATCTGCTCCAGGTACTTGTCGCACACCACGTACTCGCGCTCGTGCGGGTCCTGCACACACGCACACACCTACACACACATGCGCGCGCACCCGAAGATCTGCTCCAGGTACTTGTCGCACACCACGTACTCGCGCTCGTGCGGGTCCTGCACACACGCACACACCTACACACACATGCGCGCGCACCCGAAGATCTGCTCCAGGTACTTGTCGCACACCACGTACTCGCGCTCGTGCGGGTCCTGCACACACGCACACACCTACACACACATGCGCGCGCACCCGAAGATCTGCTCCAGGTACTTGTCGCACACCACGTACTCGCGCTCGTGCGGGTCCTGCACACACGCACACACCTACACACACATGCGCGCGCACCCGAAGATCTGCTCCAGGTACTTGTCGCACACCACGTACTAGCGCTCGTGCGGGTCCTGCACACACGCACACACCTACACACACATGCGCGCGCACCCGAAGATCTGCTCCAGGTACTTGTCGCACACCACGTACTCGCGCTCGTGCGGGTCCTGCACACACGCACACACCTACACACACATGCGCGCGCACCCGAAGATCTGCTCCAGGTACTTGTCGCACACCACGTACTCGCGCTCGTGCGGGTCCTCCACACACGCACACACCTACACACACATGCGCGCGCACCCGAAGATCTGCTCCAGGTACTTGTCGCACACCACGTACTCGCGCTCGTGCGGGTCCTGCACACACGCACACACCTACACACACATGCGCGCGCACCCGAAGATCTGCTCCAGGTACTTGTCGCACACCACGTACTCGCGCTCGTGCGGGTCCTGCACACACGCACACACCTACACACACATGCTCGCGCACCCGAAGATCTGCTCCAGGTACTTGTCGCACACCACGTACTCGCGCTCGTGCGGGTCCTGCACACACGCACACACCTACACACACATGCGCGCGCACCCGAAGATCTGCTCCAGGTACTTGTCGCACACCACGTACTCGCGCTCGTGCGGGTCCTGCACACACGCACACACCTACACACACATGCGCGCGCACCCGAAGATCTGCTCCAGGTACTTGTCGCACACCACGTACTCGCGCTCGTGCGGGTCCTGCACACACGCACACACCTACACACACATGCGCGCGCACCCGAAGATCTGCTCCAGGTACTTGTCGCACACCACGTACTCGCGCTCGTGCGGGTCCTGCACACACGCACACACCTACACACACATGCGCGCGCACCCGAAGATCTGCTCCAGGTACTTGTCGCACACCACGTACTCGCGCTCGTGCGGGTCCTGCACACACGCACACACCTACACACACATGCGCGCGCACCCGAAGATCTGCTCCAGGTACTTGTCGCACACCACGTACTCGCGCTCGTGCGGGTCCTGCACACACGCACACACCTACACACACATGCGCGCGCACCCGAAGATCTGCTCCAGGTACTTGTCGCACACCACGTACTCGCGCTCGTGCGGGTCCTGCACACACGCACACACCTACACACACATGCGCGCGCACCCGAAGATCTGCTCCAGGTACTTGTCGCACACCACGTACTCGCGCTCGTGCGGGTCCTGCACACACGCACACACCTACACACACACGCACGCTGCGCACACACATGCACGCTTACCTGAACGCACACTACACACACACAGTCAATTTGACAGTATACTAATTATTTGCCGTTATTTAAGTTCATTGCTAATCATAGGTTACCGCCATAGATTATTTCATAGGGGGATATTTGCCATAGTTGCCACGCTTAGCCGTTATTAGGAATTCGCTGCTGTCCATCTCATAATTTGTTGCCTCTTACGACATCCACGGAATGATATGGGGTAGTGAATATTCTTACACTGCCACTTTAAGGTACATTAATTTAGTAATTTATTTCATTTAAAGTATTTTTATACGAGTACACATAATATTTAAAGTTTAGCTTTTTGCACTCCTCTTCAAATAAAGTTTCACTAAGTCAATTCTTACACCCTTCTGTGCGTGTAGTAAGCTTAAAAAGGTTACATGGTTTTCTCTGTATACATATTGTATGTGATGACATATAGATGTGTGTAGGTATAGAGGAGCTCGTGGCACGGACCTGCAGGCGGTGCGTCTTGACGTACTGCCAGAGCGCGTTGACGATGACGGGGCGCGCCTGCGTGTGCACGCCCAGCAGGCGCGCCAGGCGCTGGTCCAGCTTGAACTGCAGCGGCTGGTAGTCCAGCAGCAGCAGGATCGTGCAGCGCACGTTCTTGTACCCGGGCCGCTTCACCTGCACACGTACACACGCACACACGCACACCGTTATTGATATTTCTTTTCTTTTATTATCTACTACACCTACGTCAAATTCCTCAATAAATCAAGCCCGCCCTTTGTTTTCTCATGTTATAAGGAATGCAATTAAGAATAAATAAATAAATATATATGTGTCTCACAGTAGCGAAAGGTAGTAATTAATGGAACTGAGTGTCTAGAGCACCCTTAATCATAGGCGTGCCCCAAAGAGGTGGTGAGACTCCTTTACTGGTTAGGATATTATTGGTTAGGTACCACTGTAACCTATTTACGCCGCCACGAAGCAGTACGTGTATTGCTGTGTGGTGTTCTGAAGGTTATTCGATTGACTCCAGTGACAACAGAGTTCAAGTTACATCACTACTGTAAGTATAAGGTCTGTGGTTATATACTTTAAAAGTACTTTTTGGTAGCAAAATTAGTTAATAGCAAAAAAGTTTATACCTGTTTGTTTACAAGATAATAAATATTGTCTCATCGATGCACAAGTGTTTAACATAATATGTTAGACCATTGCATAATAGGTTAGCCAAACATTAATATTCCACATTATCTATTTCTCCTTTTTATTTATTTTTTGTGGTTGCATGGTAAAATTCACCAATAACATTCGAAATTCAAAAATGAAAACTGATGAGTTTAGTTAATTAATATAAGAGTATGTATGTAATACAATAGTGTACACCTAGAATTTTGAAAAATCTATAAGATCTATAATTTATGATGAACTACCTAAAACAAAAGACAAACAGAGGTCTTATTAGTATGTTAAAAGTGACAAAGTATTAGTTTTATGTTATTAGTAAAACCTAAATTAAATAATACAGGGTATTTTTGGAACGCTCCCGAAAACTAAGACAGGCGACAGCACCAAGTATACCTTTGATCATGGGTCATAAATAAATTTGATCCTGATGAAAAAAAAAAAACATATTTTTACAACGTTTTATTAGCTTTATTCACGCGTCATCATGTTAGTACAGCTAAATGAAACGATAATTTCATAAAAAAAATCATGAAAAGACTGAAACATAAAACCAGCAGTGGAAACTGAATTGATATCACCTGACTAATGGAGGTTAATGTACGCGCGAACGGTGAAAAAAGAACGCTGGCCTTGAACTTGGGCACAGCGATTTATCACATATTGGCCAGTATTACTGTGCCTGCATGCTATTGGTTCCCGCGCTTTGTTCGCTCCAAAAATACAGTCGCATACACAGCTTACTTTGCGACTCGCGACGATGTTTTATAAAAGGAAGGAAAAAAAAATATTTATGTGTATTGTTTTATGACTAAACTAGTGAACGAAAAAGTGAATGGGGAAAATTGTGCAGTAAAGTTAAAATTGTTGAGGAAGAATACCGAAAAAATTACCATGTGATCGACCTGATGACGGAAGCTCAAGCGAAGATGAAAGTGATGATGAAGTAGCATCCAGTAACACCAACACACCATCAACATCTGGCTTCCATATGACCCAAGACGTCATAATGGACGGCGTGTCACCCTTAGCTTAAGTTTTTTTGTTACAAACTACTTTATATTTTACGATAGAAATAACAAACAATGCTCAAGTAAACATTATCTATTTTTAATTCCCACCTCTTCCAAAGTTCTAAGTAGCTAGTAAAACACCTATTATGATTCTACAATAAAACAATTAATTACTATAATATTATAAAACAATAGCCCAATACCATGTAGTACTTTAGAACGCGACTGTACCCACACTCACTCCGCTGTCGACCTGTATCTAGCTCGGTATGAAACAATACTGCGGTCATAAGAAAAAAGGGCGCATCTAACAATTTTCGAATAAATGAGTTAAATATACCATTCGACTCATGATAAGAAGACGCATCTACTAAATTTTTTTAATATTCACTAATATCAATATTTTAGAAATTATCGTCAGAATTTTAGACGTAGCTGTTGATCACAGATGACATTTTATTAGTAGAAAAGACTTATACAAATTCAACATAAAAGAAAAGACTTATTTAACCAGTTGCTACGTCATTTTTAACAATATTTGCATCGATTACTTAAATTTAAATTATTCTTGTCTTATTATTTTATATCTTATTATTAAGAGCTTATATCTTATTATTAAGAGCTGGTGTTTCACATGTGGTCCCATATAAATTTGATCGAGGTCAGACCAATAGTTTTTGAGTTATCCTCAATTATTTATATTAAAGTCGGTTGTACAAATGTTTTAATTTTTAATTATTATCGTAGTAAGTCTTGTATGATATCCCCTTTAAAATCATTACTCAAGAGTTGCGGGTTGTTATTTTTTGTGTCTCACTACCAATGCTTTTCTAATATTTACTAAGAAAAAAGTAGTAAATTACTATTAGCGTCCTCTCAACTTCAAATGACCTTTCCAAAATATGTAAAAATATTAAATGAATGGTAGTTTTGTTTTATTTATTAGGTTGGGAAGACCCAAATAGTTATATGCGTCTTTCCTTCGATGTTTTTGTGTTGCCAGGTGTATTTTTTAATCTAAGATGAAAAGGAAAATTCGTTTTATTTAAATAAATAAACAAATTTAAAAAAAAAATAAGTTCGTCCTTAAAATCTTCATGTCTCTACGTATATATTTCAATATAGATACTTTTTAATATACTTTAGACACGGGGTCTGAAAGAAAAATTCATCAATTTATTTTTTATTTCCATTTTACGTTTTTGTTAGTTACTTCCTTTTTTATTATGACGGCAGAATGCCTAACCCTGTCGCCTCACGCTTGTGACGCAGTAATTTTCAGCCTTGACGGGGTTCGTTGGTTTTAGTTTTTGAGACAGTTTCGTGTTGATTTTGTAAACGCGTGCGCGAGCGACAGTTCAATCGTTTTGTTTAATAAATTTACTTGTGATTACGTATTGATATTAAAGTTTTTGTTACGTTTTTGGATTCTTTTTTGTTTTAATAATGCTTAACGCGTACGTTTATAGTGGTTATTATACTGCCGAACTGAACCTTCTACTGTAGCGACATCTAGAATGTTCGAGTACATATCGGTCCCGAAATTTCTGGAAGGATCTCGACTCTCCTAGTTCTGCTACTCGACACTAGAGGGCGCTAGTGTGACTAGTGTTGCCATGTACAAGACATTAATAGTGGCGCGCAATACTTTCATTTACTCGACACTAGGGGGCGCTAGTGTAACTAGTGTTGCCATGTACAAGACATTAATAGTGGCGCGTAACAGTATTACTTGTTATTACGTGTTGGTATTATTCTTGTTGTACGTTTTTTGTTTTAATAATGCCTAACGCGTACGTTTATAGTGCTCGTGAATACGGCAACATGTTAGGTATCCGAACCTAGGTACACGAAGTATCGCTAAATTGTTAAGACGTCGGGATGGAACAAGTGTGTCATACCGTGCAGTGCACAAAGTGTTGAAGCGTAACCGAATGCGCCCATACAAATTGCACAAAGTGCAAGCTTTAGTTCCCGGCGATCACGACCGCCGACGAGTTTTCTGTTGTTGGTTATTATATCAGCAACAACGTGTGCCTGGTTCCATTGAGCACATTATCTGGACGGATGAGTCGACATTTACCAGAAACGGCCTGTGGAACCGAAGAAATACACACGTGTATTCAGAGGTTAACCCGCACGCTGTTCGACAAACCGGGCACCAAACCCGATGGTCGGTTAACGTATGGACAGGTTTATTTAAGGATCGCATACTGGGACCAGTGTTTCCGCCAGAGCGACTGAACGGACAGCGATACCTAAACTTTATAAATGAACAGTTGGTTGACATTTTAAACGACCTATCGTTGGCTGAATATCGCCGCACATAGTTCCAACATGATGGTGCCCCTCCACATTTCGTGAGGTTCGTCCGTGAGCGCCTCAATGAGCTATTTGATGATCGCTGGATCGGCAGACTAGGACCACACGCTTGCCCACCTCGCTCACCAGATCTGACTTCGTTAGACTTCTTTTTGTGGGGTATGTGAAAGAAAGGGTTTTTAATCGTGAATGTGATAGTGCTGAAGAAATGCGCCAAAGGATCGTGGATGCTTTCGAGAAACTACGTACGGACTGTGTCGAAGACCACACGATGATGCCCCGCCTGCACCCAAGTCTGCCTTGAAATGAATGGAGCACAATTTGGGCCGCATCTCATAAGACCACGGAGGATTTAGAGCAGTAAGCTGTTTCATAACTATTTTTTTTTAAATAACTTAGTACTAGACTAATCTGAATAGGTACATAACTGAATACACGAGAATAATAAACATACCTACACGATGAATAAAAACGCATGACTCCAACCTTGGTTACATTTCATTTAAGTATTTCTTCATTAGCGGGGAATCGAACCAGTTATTTGGGTTATTTAACCTGTAAATTCGGATTAAAGTGGCTACGTGGAGATAAGCACAGTGGCAAAATAGTATGTTAAGTAGATAAGTTAGGTATTTAGACACGTGTTGTAAATTATTAGGTATTGTGGGAAGGCCCGCTAGTTGCGGGCCGCGCGAATTTGTGTTCGCGCGTACATTGACTTTTATCTAGCTCAGGTCAGGTGATATCAATTCAGTCATTCCACTGCTGGTTTTATGTTTCAGTATTTTCATGATATTTTTTATGAAATTATCGTTTCATTTAGCTGTACTAACATGATGGCGCGTGAATAAAGCTAATAAAACCTTGTAAAAAGATGATTTTTTTTTCATCAGGATCGAATTTATTTGTGACCCATGATCAAAGGTATACTTGGTGTTGTCGCCTGTCTTAGTTTTCGGGAGCGTTCCAAAAACACCCTGTATAATAATAATAATAATAGAATAAATACACAAAAGAAGTTTATGTTAAAAGAAAATTATGGGTCGAGGGATTTAAGGAAGCTTCTCTATTTGATGTAACTTCAACGGCTTTGAAGAGCAATTCATTTAATTGCATTTAACACAAGTTTTCACTAATAACCTTATTTACTAATAA